TACAAAAGGTGTCACATCAACGCATATTGTATATTGATTTGATTTATATGGTTGCCCATCTCATTTTCAGTTTTGTTCGACACAGACCAAAACACGAAACACAATATAAAAAAGCAAATGAAAAAATAAAGCACAAGCCATGATTTGATCAGCCAGCCAGCCAGATGAGTTCTGTAATTCAGTGGTGGGATTCATTTTTTTTTACTACCGGTTCTGTGGGCGTGACTTGGTGGGCCTGGCAGGGAAGGATACTGCGAAATCCCCAGTTTCCAAGGTGGGGCGTGGGAGGAGTCACTGAATGGGTATTGTTACGGCCCAATTGCCTGGAGACTGAGATAAATCTGAGGACACTCCCTGTTTCTCCTGGTGACTCCCCAGATTAACCTCAGTCTTCGGCCTAACAGGAGCTATTCAGTGACTCTCCAGTGAATAGTATTTAGTTAGGATTTTTTTATAGTATTTTTTTTCCCTCCCCACCCCACTATCCTGCTTTCCAGCTCCCTTCTCCTGTGGCAAGGGCAATAAAAAAAGACCCAGCGATCATCGGGAGGCAGCAATAAACCGATCACCAGATAGATCAGGGTTGGGGCCAGTCAGGTGGTACTTGCTGGTTCTCCGAACTGCTCAAAATTTTCACTACTGGCTTGTTAGAACTGGCTGAATACCACCTCTGTTCTATATACATCCAGGACCCCACACATATGGCACAAAGGCAAATTTTCAAGGCCTTACAAAAGCCAAACGGGGGGGGTGGGAGATGCACCAAGGGGCAGGTGACAGCAAACAAGGGTCTCCTTCTGGATCACACCTGCTGAGTGCTTGGAGAATACCCTTCCTGCCAGATTGGGTACAACAGGTACAAGTAATTGGAGAGGGTTGGTCCCCATGCGTTTCCACAAGGAAGTCCGGCTCTTAGGTCTAGAATGACTATTTCTGCTGATGTCTTGACTAGAGATTGGAAGTTTCCCCTAAACACTACTTTTGCCTTTGGAATAATTTACTGGTAACCGGAACAACTTCCTACATTTTGGCAGACTGTATAATAATCTGGCGGAAGTGAAAAACAGAAAGGAAGAGAAAGACAGGAAAGAAAATTACGCCAAGAACAGGGAAAGAGCAAAAGAATTCCAAAAGGTAAGAAATCTGCAACACACTATAATATTCCATCCCAGGATCTAATTTTCCTGGTTTGTATTTGTTCTTTTAATTGTGAATCAAATGGAATTTGAAAGCTTAAGGCGTTGACTTAAGCCATATTTAGCATGAGAATTCATCCTGCTTGCAATTCAAAAAATTAAATGTGGGAAGTGCCAGAAGTCAAATCATTTTAATACCACGTTGTTCCTTATTGTCTCCCAACTATACAACCGTTGGTTCCCCCACCATAGTCTCCCCCTAGAGTGGTGTCCGTTTTCCTCTACCTGTCTTAACCGAAAACCCTTACAATTGTGGAGCCAACCAGCGACAGGGAGCCACAGCAGAGGGATGAAAGAGCCACATGCGGCTCCAGAGCCATAGGTTGCTGACCACTGCCATAAATGATAGAATGCATTAGACCCCAGTGAAGTTTGAGCTTGTAATGGTGCTGAACAAGTAGCACTTATACCCTGTTCTCAAAGTTCTAGTCACCACGCCTTAAGGATTACCATTTGCAACTTTCCCTGCCAGTTTCCCACAAGCAAAGTCAGTGAGGAAGCCTGCAGAGAAGCTTGCAAAGTTGCTTCTGTCACTTTTTATCCTGAGCCTTGGAGTAAACAATTCCAGGGATCTCATATTCCACTCTCACACCACCAGTAAACTACTCCCCAGCCCGCATGCAATTGCCACAATACTTTCTGCTTCACTCATACTTATCCCCACCTTCCAGCCTCCTCTGGAGCCACTATCTGGCTTCCCTACTGACAGCTGGGGGGAAGCCAGCAGGAAGTTGGAAGTCACAGGAGATTCTTGCTTAGCAGCGTTTAACGATCGCAATGGGAACCGCTGGGATTGCCATTGCAAAGATGACTGCACTTCAGAGAACAATTGCTTAGCAATTCCAGTGCCAATTTTTGTTAAGCAAAGGCTACTGGTTATTTAAAAGCAGAGCAGGTAAAATGACAATTACACACCCCCCCCAAAAAAAATCATTGCAACTGTCCAGGAGTTTGACTATATCTTTTTGTCAGAAACCACCCGTGCCACATTTTGGTAACTTTTAAACTTCAAAGTGCTTCTGCTATTATACTTTTGCCATTTATTCATTATTTAGATTATTTTCTTACCCATTTTCTTACAGAAAACATTGGAAAAACTACGAGCCAGAAAAATCAATTTGAAAACCTAGTATTTTGCAGACGTCCCGCCAATGGAGGATAATTTATCAGCTTTGGATTTGAGGTCTCTGCGATAATTAAAAATTATGAGGCAGAATTTGAGACAATTCACATTTGGTATGGCTGCATTTGCAAAATGCCCAATGCTGTGTATATAGACCATTGTTGTCTCCAATTATGGCTTTTCAACTCAAAAAGATTTTCATTTCCAAATGTCACATTTGATTTTTGTACTATTTTACCTATTTATAATAAAATATTTGCCAAAATGCAGATTGACAAGTTATTCAAAAGCCATGTTCCTTTCCGCTTGCCTTTTAAAAATGTGTGCCATCAACTGAATGAGACTTATTGTCAGCCTCCTGGCCAAACAATCCAGATGATGGAGAATGAGAAGTGATTGAGGAAGAATAGCCAGCTTACCTTGGAAATTTCAGCTGCCACTAAGAGAAAACCCCTGAACACAATCTGTGATTTTTCCCAGCGCCTGCTGAATTAAAAGCTGGAGGCTGGCCTAATGAAAGGACTAAGAACCTCACATGCCACTAATCAGGCTTCAGTCAGTGGTTGAGAACGACTGTCCGCCGGATGACTGGGCAGAGTAATTCAAGTTGCAGCCTACATCCTTCGACGCTCTTCCAACGGCTCCGGAGAAAAATGCAGCAATTTTTGCATCAAAAATGGCAGCCGGAAGTTTTTCCCTGACTTAAAATGGCCACTGCAGTGACGAGCGGGCTGAAGGTGCCAAAAACTCAGATGGAAAGTGATGGCACCAAAGCCTGGGTCCTCGCATCACTGACCGTCACGCCAAATCCCTGAATTACAGCGCAAGCGGCTGGGCCCTCACCGCTGTGCTAAGAGAAAACACGATCGCGTCGGCTTGCGTCACCTAGCAGCTCAGAGAGCCGCCCGCACCCAGAGAAGCCTGGGACACACTGGTAAGGTACAGCTGCTCTCCGAAATCAACAATAAAGATTCAAACAGACCTGTTCTCTTTGTAGAGAAGAAAATGAAGGATGGGGAGTCCAAGTTAAAAGGTAAATGTTCATTAATAGCTGGAACCACTTTAAAACGTGTCCACTGGGCTAGACTGAATTGAAAAAATCTGGGGTGCCGGCAGCAGAGGCATGGCTAAAGATCTTTCAGTTCAATCCAAGGCCGTCAGACAGAATTTAACCCATGCTTGGACTCTCCAAGCAGCGCACAAAAGAACTCTGATTTTTCTTAACCTGCATTAATGAGCAGTCTCAGTCTGAATCTGCTGTGTTGCTTTCTAGAAGCTCGCGGGAGACATAAAAAAAAAGATTCAGAGGATACAAGTTCACGAAATAAGATTTCACAGGTTGTGTGATTTATTAAATAAGCTGATTCATTAATCAACCATAGTACAGCAAAACCACAAATACAATTGGAGAGAGCTAGGTTATTCAAAGAAAAATCTGTTTAACAATGAGAAGCACTCCAGAATATGGCTGCTTGCAAGAAGCACACCTCACGGCTTTGTAAGTTAATCAGCAGGTTCCACAATTTTTCAAGCATTACTTAATACCCAAATATTTGGGCAGAGGCCATTCTGTCCCATGTCTTCCCCTTGGCATTCTTCCAAGAGCCAGAAACCTGAAATGGAAGCAAAATATACCATCATAAGGTCAATCCAATGCTATCAACCTTTCCACCAGCCCTCAACGTGATTTAGAAAGCTGGTGTTAACCGCAGCCCCATGGAGGACAGTTCTTCTAAACAGCTATTGAAATTTGTAACGGACTTTTGTTTCCCAATCTCATCCCCAATTAGCAACCTTCCCAGCTAGTCTATTCATCCCCAATGCCACACAAGGGAACCTTCCATCCGCTTGTTGGCTCAATGAACGTGTCTCCTCTGGTATAGATCACAGAGCGCTCCAGGTACCCCCTTGATATCCTACTGAGGATTTCCATCTAAGGTCGCCGCGTTAAGAGCTGCCTGTTCATCGGCAACACAGCCCTCTTTGAAGTGACCTTCTGTACCACGTCTTCTCCACGGCCTTCCTTTTTTTTTACCTTTGGCTTGAAGTCCACTTTCCATCAACTTTGCAGATTCCCGCTGAGATTTCTTTTGGGGGTGTTTCGATAAAAGGATCACTGCTGGAAAAAAGGTGAAACATGGTTAAGGGTCAAGTTACGGCAAATGGATCTTAAGTTCCGAGTTATTATTGTATTTTTCTGAGTATAAGACGCATCCCCCCCAAAGAGGCTAAAAATTTGGGTGAGTCTTATACCACGAATGCACCATATTTTTCAGAGTATAAGACGCACCGGAGTATAAGACAAAATTTTGAAGAGGCTAATTTTAAAAAAAAAAAGTTTTTGCACTCTGCAGACCGAGAAAACAAGTCCATTTTTATCAAAAAATTAAAAAAACAATTGGTGCGTTTTTCGCTCATTTTCCCCCAGCCACCATGAGCACTCTATAAGCCTCCTAAAGGCTATGCATGGCCATTTTTGCAAAGCGGTGGGGCTTTGGGAGGCCAAAAATGCTGTATTCAATGTGTAAGACACACCCAGATTTTCAGTCTCTTTTGTTCAAAGCTTTTTTTCAGCATGAGGCGCTAACGAGTGGATCTTCCGTGATTTGCCTGCTTGCTTCTCTCTCCCACGAGCGCTAGCAGCTTTTTTTTATCGGCAATCAAGATAAAAAGCATGTGCGCTCAAAACCAGCAGACCTATGTGCTAAAGCTGACCATACAAAGGACGCTAGCCAGATGAATATCTGGTAGGCAGAATCCCCCCCCCTATTTTCCTCCCCCAAAACCTAAGGTGCGTCTTATACTCTGAAAAATATGGTAATCTGTTTCAGAAGGCAGAGCAGAGATGCGAGGGAAGAAGACACAGAAAGCAGCAGACATGCTTCAGTTTGCAGCTTTTAGATTCTGGGCTTCAATTCTTAATTTTTTTTCCTAATGTTCCCACCAGATTTGTTGCTACCATGGCAGCAATGTAAAAATCTAGAGGAATTACTTTGCGGTCACGTCCACAGCATACCAGAAATAAGATTTTCAAGCAGCCTTGGTAGAGACCAAGTACAGGTAGTCCTCGGCTTACAACCACAACGGAGCCCCAAATTTCTGTCGTTAAATGAGAAATATGTCCAGTGAGCTTTGCCCCATTTTTCGACCTGTCTTGCCTCAGTTGTTAAGTGAATCACTGCAGTGGATAAGTTAGTAACATGGTTGTTAAGTGAGCCTGGCTTCCTAATTGACAGAAGGTCGCAAAATGCGACCACGTGACTCTGGGACGCAGCAATGTCCATAAGTATGAACCGGTTGCCAAGCACCTGAATTCTGATCATGTGATCTTGGCTACAAATGTTGTAACTGAAAAATGGTCATAACTGACTTTTCAGTGTCACTAAATGAACTGTTATAAGACTACTTCTACAAGTAGTCCCCACCTTATGTCCGCTTGTTGGGCACTCAACAATGAGCCCACATTTATGGCTGTCTGCAGTTCCCTGTCAGATGACTGTTTTACGATGGTTTTGCCAAAAGCCAGCATTTTCGACAAAACCAGCCCCATTAGAAAACCGTCAAGTTTGCTTAATGACGGTAGTGGCCGCTTTCGGACTGCTGCGTTTGCTTAACCTACACCACAAAAAAGTTGTAAAATCAGGTTGGACAGATGGGTGACTATTCTCCGTCTGGTGAGTAACGCCGACACAAGCTTACTGTTAGCCACGCTTTATTCACAGTAATTACTCAGACAAGACGTTGGTAGCAATCCAGACTCCCACAGATCAGAGATACAATACACACAAGAGCTTCTCCAGCTTGGTATAAACGGTTGGGTCCTGCAAAAGGTCTCCTCCCAAAGTCTCTTCTTGTATACTCTCTTGGGAACAGCCAAATCACAACCACCTGGGCCTGATTATCTCCTATGAGTCTGTCTCCGTAATTGCTGCCTTCGTTTCTCT